TGCATTATTCTTGCTGCCTCATGCACACCATTCACGGTGCCGCCCTTGTGTCGTATTTGTCTTAAGGCGAGGTGGAGTGCTCCTTTTACTCATTTGTTTGTCTTAGGTTGCCGCAAACCATCTTAAGGTGTTTTACTGTGAATTCAGTAAACACGCCATCGTGGACTAGTTTCTTTCCCATTCGCCTTTCTTGCAGCGGCGTGCCGCTTGCATGCTGTCCGTCGCTCTATTTCAGCACATCGTCCTGTCTTGAGCCTCCTCGACTAGCCTTATTTCTATCTTCCTGCTGATATCGCGTTCGATCTTCTATATGCCTATTTACCTCGCGCGTTCGCCCCCAACAAGTAATGGATTTTGCAATCGATGCTTAGTCAGAAGTGCTGAATTGAGGCTAAGCGGGAATGGTTTACGTAAGGTAGGTTTGTTTCACTTGGACCATGAGGTCCCAGACGTCATACCTTTACGGCGTGGCGGACTGAATGGAGAAACTAGCTACTGGGCTGCTGACTACCATCGTCTCGCCCAGGGGAAGTTGCTTACGTCTCGAGAAATGATGGCTGAGGTAAAAGGCCCCCGGGACGCGATCGATGCTGACTGTCTGGCCAGCATTCAGCGCAGACTAGCAAAAATGGGGGTCATGTCCGGCTTCACTGATGCGACTGCGTTCTGTCGACTCGACTGTCTTTCTTTGCCTCCTATGGTGCTCTTATCTCAAGCTTGCCTGTGTGGCTCGTCGCCTTCGCATGACCCCCTATTTTGCTCTGTCCCTACAGCCCACATCAGCGTGTCTCTGCCTGTGTGCATAAGCCTCTAGCCAGCCCTTCCGGTCTCTGGCACGCTCCGTCTGTCCGCCGGTAGCGATACAGCTAACTGCACGTTTCTATGACTGCATACCTGTAGACCTATCCTAACGTGTGCACAAGGTGTGTTGGCTAAACTTTTTAGCCGTGTGTTTGGAGCAACTCACGAAGTGATGGCATGGCCTCTACCCTAACATTCGTTTATATCTTTTCCTTGGAATACCAGTTTATACGGGTATATGTGTTTGGCTAACCTTAGTGACTCTAAGGCCCCTTGTTAACTTCATGAATCATCTACGCATTGTGGCATGGAACTGGAGCACTATTCGTGTGCAAGACATCTTAGTCAGACTGCCAGAACCTGGATGCCTACCAACTGCACGTACATGCGTGATATGGTGATAATATCTCGTGCCGCGTTCATTTTCGTCACACGCCTCTGGTGCCAGACAATTCAGCAAATTCGGGCAAAGGGTTATATCGGAATCCAGTTTCTCTGTCCTTGTTATCTTCGCGATAAAGTTGCTAAGGCCCATTTTTATAGCTTTGTTAATTTCACTAACGGGTTATGCTTTCTATTAAGGATGACAAATGCGTTTACATTTTGAACAAGATTTCTGTTATTTGTCGTGCCTCAAAATCCGGTCGGGCCCGAAAAGTTTCAGATCTGTCCATTTAGAAATGGCAATGAATTAGCTCAGACAAACTCCACGTCCTTGGCTTGTTTGCTCGAGTGATTTCAGGGCCTGCGTTCTGAGTTGTCTGGGTATCGTGCGTCTCAAAATTTGTTTCATTAATTCTCGCATGAAAATGCATTTCCTACGTGACTCGCCGTTAGAGTGGACATTTATTAACTTCGTTGTATTCGGGACCTG